TTGTCGTTTGGTAGGGAGTCTTCCATGTGGAACGAGCTGGAGGTGGAAGCCATCTTCTCAGTTGTGTCGGGAATTGGTAGAGCTTCTTCTAGGACCGTCTCAAGTGGTTAAACCTTCTTAACAAGTTAGGCTCTGATGCTAATTGTTGGGATTTTCGTAAGCTCGAATCGACAACCGGAATGGTTTGTAAAGAGGGGTCGAAATGATTTTGTGTTTAGGGAGTAAGGAGATTGAAAGATAGAGAATTGCACAGCGATTTATAGTTGTTCGACTTTCTCAACCAAAGTCTACGTCCACTACCTTAGCTCTTCACCAAGTATTTTCAAACAAATTCACTAATTGGTTCTTTCTTTTGAGGACAAATAGATAACCTTACAACTCCCTAGTTTTTCCGGCCTAAACTAGAACATTTCCCTTTTACAAAAGGATAAGAAATGTAAACAAGAAAACCACTCTAAGGTAGGTGTTTACAAGAATTAATCTCACAAGAACAAAATATTTACAAGAGAAAGATAAAATAAGAATGAAAAACTCTTCTCTTGTGTTTGATTGCTTGGATAGTTGTTCTCTTGTTTCTTCAAGTGTCCTTAGCTTGTATTTATAGCTTGGAATGTGTTTGATGTTGTATATAACCGTTGGGGATGTTTTGGAGCCGTTTAGGGATGATTTTTCTGCTCAAAAAGGCTGCCCATAACATGGTGCATCGGTGCACTATCAAGGTGCATCGATACCCCTTCATTAAATTCAAATAAACTAACCGTTATAGCCTTGGTGCATGAATGTACACAGGGTGCATCGAAACATTTTTAAAACTTTGAATAAATTTAATTCAAGTCCAAAAACATTTTGCCTTTAAATTTGTTATATCGAAACATAATTCAACACTTTGAACCTCATTTATCTCCTTATTAAATTGTACATGAATTAATCGGTGGAACAATTGGAAGACATACAAAGCTTGGGACTTCTCTTTTAAAAGATAAACCAAATTGTACCTGGTATATGCATCAACACATGATATATAGTATCGATATCCGTTGGACACAACGTGAGGAGGCCCCCATAAATCCACAAATATTAAATGAAATGGTTCAATATAAACAGTAATAGATGGAGAAAAAGGTAGAGAAATGCTTCTGCCAGAGTGACAAGAAACACAAACAAAATCATCATTAACCAAAGTTGTATCAACATTACATTCTCTACACACTTTGAGTAATGTATCCCGAGAGGGATATCCTAATCAGTTGTGCCATAAGTGAAAATTAACAACCCCACGAGCAACATTGCACTCGACATGATCATTATTCCTTAATAAGGTAGAGCTAAACTCATAGAGACCATCTTTCTCACATCCATCAAGTAGCACCGCTCTTGTATTTTCATCCCGAACTACACATCTATGAGCATGAAATTCAAGAAATATGTGGTTATCTTTGGAAACCTTAGAAATCGACACTAAGTTCTTCAATATATGAGGAACATGCAGTAAATTATTTAACATCAAAGAACGATCACAGGCATGTAAACGAGAATGACCAATGCTAGATATAGATAAGCCATTACCATTACCAACCACAAGCATACCCTATCCAGTATACTCCTATCAACTGACAATATTATTTGCGTCTGACGTCACATGATGGGTGGCACCTGAATCGACAATCCATTTCCCATAGGACCGAGCAACACCATAACTACCTATACTGGACTAAGGAGCACATTCAACCATAGCTACTGTAGCATTGACATCCCACACTCCTTGACAACCACACGTAGAAAATGAGGAAAAATCACAAGAATGAGCGGCTGGACTGACAGCCGAAGGAGAACTACCAACAGAGACCCCTTGAAAAGTTTGATCGAATCTATACCAGCAACAGTTCACTGAGTGACCAATTGTCCACAAACTTAGCATTGAATTCGAGGCTAACCATGACCTCGACCACCCTAACGATAAGCATACGAACTAGGAGATGATCCAGACGAAGTAACAACCCCTTTCACCTGCGAGTCAGAAACCTGAAGGTTCGCAAGATTTACGTTGATTAACAAACTATCACCCTCCTCAAAACCCCATTGTTGTAGCTCCTCATCAAACAACACGGATATAACACAATCCAACGTGAAAGGTTCTCTACTAGCAGTGATATCAACAATAAATGGTTGGTACTCCGATAGAATATCGTTCAAAATGGTCGCCATTTGCTCATACTCAATCACAGGACAACCATACGTGACAAGGGCATCACAAAGCTCATTGACCTGAGATATGAACGTTCTCATTCTCATTTATCCTTTATAAACTGCTTTCAAACGATAATGAAGATTCACTATCGTCGTTTTCGATTTGTTGGCAAAATAATTAGTGACTTTAGCCTACACATGAGCAACTGTATCAGCTCCAACCAAGTGGGGAAGGATTGACAGGCTCATGGTGGACAGAAGCCATAAAGCGAGTGCAATGTCTTGTGCAACAAATATTTCATAGGCTTCGTTTTCAGCAACCATACCATTTTTCAGAACCACTGTCGCTGGAGGAGTGATTACACCAGTGAGAAGTTTTTCGAGGCGATGGCTACGAACCGCCAGAAGCACTTGTTGATTCCATAAGAGAAAATTGTGTTCATCCAAGACTGCACTGAGCCGTTTGTTGGTGAATATTTTTTACAATGCCGTCGATGATACTTCTATATCACCCATCGTACCACCGAACAAAACAAGGAAAAAATAGCTAAGTAAGGCAGATTCCCCCATATCTCAAGGCAACCGATACCATGTTAAACTTTTCTTGTAAACAAATAAAATGCACTATTTTTTTCCTTTCATAGAAACCTATATTTATCCTTTTACAAATGACTTACTAGAAGAATCTAGTTGGTTACGCTAGCTCACCTATGATGTTACACCCATTTTAACAAACCAGCTAATATTTGTTTTTATTAGCTAACACGGAGGTACATGGGTGCTTAGGGGTCATTACACCCCCAAATTTTTAATCATTAAAGAATAATGGGATAATTACGTATTTAGGCCTTTAATTTTTAATTTATTTTGATTATGCCCTCCATTTTTTTATCATTAAAGAATAATCAGACAATTACCTATTTAGGCCTTTAAATTTTAATTTATTTTTATTTTACCTTCTCATTTTTTATTGTTAATTATATTTTACTCCACTACTGATCTCCCTGTCTAAGTCAAATATTTACAAATTCAAGTTCATGCTTCCTAAAGCTAAAAACAAAAACACGCACCATCAATCTTAACTTTATCATATTCATAAACATTCATATACTTGTTCTACACTAAACTTAATAACTAAACATGTAAACATTACAAACAACATTCACGTAATGATTCCATCAATCGTTACCCATGGGCAGAGCATCGTGGGGTCGAGGGAGCCTTCGCCCCGCTAATTATATTTTTAATTATTAATTAATATAGAAAAATATATTTTTTAAAAAATAAATAATTTTTTTATCAGGTCCCCTTCAATTAAAAAATTATATTTATGGAAAATAAAAAAATTAATCCCGTTATAATAAATTTCTAATTCCCTTGCGTATTAAAGATTTAACTATCAAACACAATATCAACTTATATTACCATCCATACATACATACATACACACACACATACATACACACAAACACACACATACATACATACATACATACATGCATGCATGCATGCATACATACATGCATACATGCATGCATGCATGCATACATACATACATAACTATTATATCAAAATAAGACACACGCTACAGCACGTTGTTGACCTAATCATACACTCACTAGAGTACTTAAAACCAACAAAAGCAATTAATTCACTAGAATAAGATTCGATAAGCTCAATAAAATAATCAATACAAATAACATAGTAATTTAACATTTTTTTTACAACTACATAAAAATACATAACAAAGCATTTTCACATATCATTAGGTTTGTTTCCAAGTTAAACCATTAGATTCTTTTAACGTAATTATCACTCTTTAACTTACTTTTAATCATTTTAGCCCACGGTAATTTAGTATATATTCAAATCATTTTGGCCCACTAAAACTAGGTGTGCTACTCGGATTAATTCAGATTAGTCGTGACGAAGCCTTAGAATTGTAGGGTAACAAAAAAATCATTTAACTAACAACTTATTATCAATTTCACATTCTATTCTTCATTAACATGTGACACCAGTTTTAGAGTTGGTTGTCAGTCGTCGATAGTATTTGCTTGTTCTTTATTTTTTTTTTAATTTTTAATAATTATATATTTATGACACGTTTTATTATTCTTTTATATCATTTTTTTCTCTTGGCATATTTTCAGTCTTTTATATTTGATCATTTAGTGGTTTTTACCATTTAATTTTCTTAGGGCTGAATTTGTCACAATCTCGACAGATTAAGATAACACTTATTTGTTATCATGTTAATCTTCTCTATTTTTGACATATAATTGAACTTAGAAACGCGATTTGTGTTCAAAGATAATTGTTTCACGGCGCTTGACTTTGATTTACGATTGTCAATGGTCTTTCAATAATTTCATCCCTGTTGTTATTCGTTTGTTGATGCAATCATATTTGTTTGTATCGATCTTTTATTCAAGCTTTTTTCATGGGTTTTTAACATTTTTTTTGTATGATCTGAGTATGACTTTTATTTGCGTAAAAAAATTATCACTTTCACATAAATCAATAAGTTACATGTTCAATAACATATTAGCCGGATCTTGACTATAGTCGATATTTTCACGATTTATTTTTAAATTAAATTATCAACATTTTTAATCAAATTATAAATTCTAATATTTTTTAATCTATTAGACATCATCTTCTAAATACAATGTATATGATTTAGATTCTAATGACATGCAAAGTCATTCTCTTGTTATATAACAACAAATGAGAAATCTTAAAAACATTTGTGCCTTATAATAAAAGGCTTATAAATCAGTTGATATTTTAGGTGAGCATTAACATCAAATGTACAATAAATTTTGTCTTTCGATTTCCTCACTCCCTCTTCATTAATTGCTTGCTGCCGTCGGATCATCGCAATCGCATGGCTCATGTTTAATCCTTTTTTTCCCTATTGGCCCACACCAAATCTCTTCCTAGCCAAATCACACCGCACCTGAGCCAATCCGATCCTAGACTTCTCGAGATCAAATTCCATCCACATGTTTTGTTGATGATGATGACCAATCACATAAGCCTCCACGCCCAACAAGTCAGAGTTCCCAAAACTCATGCACCACACCGAATCATTCCCCTTCATTTCACCCGGAACCTTGTATAAAACTCGATCACCCGACACCACCATTTCCGCCCCGGCAAATACCAAGCTCACCGACGGCAAATTTGGCAGCCGTGTCTGACCCGAAGGGACCCGGTAACACAAATCCAGTGCCCCTTGGAACACGAAGTTCGGATCCTCTAAAACCCTTAAAACCCCGGTTGTTTGATTCAAATACTCTGTTCTTAAAGCGTTGTAAACGGGTCCGAGTAAGAAGGTGAATTGGGTACCCGAGTCAACCATGGTTTGACCCGCTCCGGTATGATCCGGGACTAGGACCGATTTCGGAACCGGTAATAACTTACCCGATACTTTGATCCCTTCAAGCTGAACCGTATAAGCGGTCCGGTCAAAATACGGCAACCGTCGGGAGATTTGGATTAACGGCGTGTAGTTCAACGGTGCAAGCCACGTCACATTGGAGTCGCCGAGTAAAAGAAGGCCGGAGAAATCGGAACCCGAGATGCAATACGAGAATTTGGGGAATCCCATTTGGGAAACAAAAGAGAGGGACCCACGGTTCATGCCCATTAGCCCGGTGGTTTTGGAGTCTTCGTCTGAGTTAGAACTGAAAATGGAGTCCATGCAACCGAAAACAAGACCCGAGATATTGCTTGATGACCCGAGGTGGAAGCTATCGGAGGCGAGATTTCCATCGGAAGATGAAGAGTCGGCGTAGGAAAGAGTGGCGTGGCAAAGGTTGTCGGAGTCGCATGAAGGTGGGATGGGGAAATCTTGGGTTTTATTTGTGCAAGTCGGAGAGAAACAAGGGATTGGTTTGTATGAGGTTGATTGATTCGGGTAGAATATGGTTGGGTCCGGTTGGTTGTTTCGGGTGGTTCGGTTGCAGTGGAGCCAAGAGAGCTCGCTTCCGGTGTCGAGAACCATGGACACATTTTGCGGTGGAATGCCTACTGTTAAAGAGACAATGAGGCTAACGTTGTGCCGGACCTGAAGCTTGTTCGGAGATCTTAGGATTTGAGTTTTAAGGGGAAAAATGAGAGATTTAGGTGAAGAAGAAGAGGAACATAGATGAACGTGAATAAGAAAAAAGAAGAAAATCTGAATGTATAGAGATGATAAAGAGAGGATTTTGAGAAATGGGTTTGAGTTAGAATGGAAGATAATGTAAGAATTCATGATGTTTTTGGATAAGTTTCTTTTGGCTGACAGCGTTGCTCTTAAAGTGTCAGAAATGGAACATTTGGAGGTTGGAAATGAAAGATGATCTCTTTGGTTCTTTTTGGAAGATAAAGCAAGGAATCGGTTCGAGTGAGCATTGCAAGACAGTACTTGACATTCCTGTTGTGTTTGGTTATTTGATGTGTCGGATCGCCAGTCGCCATGAATTCTCGATTTTTCGCCCTTTTCTTTTCCCTATATCTGAGCAAGACTTACTACCTACTTTCTACCTGTCTGTATTTTTTTTACCTATTATGTGTATTTATTGTTGTTTTATGAGTTATACGACAGCATGTTTTACTTTTTAATGATACTTAGGTCTTACCATAGATTTTTTATTATTATTTTGGTCCATTTTAGTTCTTCGATTACAAGACAAATTTGCCTTGCATTTTGATTAAAGCACCCCATTTCTTGTCTTCTTTGTATATCTTTACTTCATTTTTCAAAAAAGAAATGCATATCTTAACTTCAACCATTCACTCATTCCTTTCTTCTTTTCTCCTTGTTCTTCAATTTGCCTTTTTTTTTATCAACCATTAATGTTTACTGGAAAGTATTACGATTGCAAATATTTTTCCATATAAAAATAAATTATTATTTTTTTAAATAATTTTTACATAATTTGTCTTTAAATAAAACTAAATTTTCCATAAATAAAAAATTAAGATACAACAAATGCAATACATTTTTAACACAAAAATTCAACGAGCGTGAATAAAAATAAAACTAATTTCACAAAAACCTAGCAACTATCAATATTCTATGTCTCTATTCGAATCCAGACACAATATTGATGAAGGTGTGGAGATTGAGGGAACTAATATAACAGATTACGTCGTGAACGGTTCTTAATGCATCGACAAACAATCGTAAAAGAATATACAACTATACGAGATCGTCGACCTTTCCTGATAAGGGGATGTAACATGATATGTGCAACAAAAAACACAAATTGTCAAAACCATACAGTATATCTATAAATGATATCCATATTTGAGAGATGTAATAGGATGAATGCAACATAAAACACCAAACTGTCAAAACATGATATTTAGGTCGTCGTTTAAGATAGCACTTTAAAAGAAAATTAGAGAATCACTTTAGAGAGAAAATTAGAATTCTTTTACGAAGAATAATATATTAATTATATGAATATAACTTTTATATTAAAAAATGCAATTGTGGTATAGTTCATAAATTAGGATGTACTTCTAATCAATAACCTATAGGTTGTTGCAGTGTATTTGTGGCTTGTGTTTCACTGCATAGTTTAGTGTATCTCACTGAATATAATTTTTCTTATTATCCATGCAATGCCTGACGACTAAGAGAAGATATAATGATGAAATTCATGATTTTGACGAGAGCTATAATGTGAAAAAAGAACTGAATTCATCGAGGCTGGATTATAAATGAATGGTTTTAATAACGTAAGTGTTTAATATATATATATATATATATATAGTACTTTTAAGTGTTTTTATCTCAATTAATTATCATATCAGTGTTATAATGGTTAAGGTCAATCGATAGAGAAAATTAATATAATTAAATAAAACTGATAATGAAATTTATGTAATTAAAAAAATAAAATCATTGATTTGATTCTTTTGCCATTAAATTCATACAACTAAAAACATTGACACAGACATGTATAACTAAAAACGAACTTGTTGACAATTAGAGAACAAGGAACATGAACCCTGCTAGGAAGTATACAAAAACTGAATCCATGTGGTTCCACGAATCTGTAAGAAAGATCAAGACGATGGTCATTCTGCAGTTAATGCAATGGATTGGCGGTCCAAAAGTGAATGAAAAAAGGTGGATAAATTATTTGACATTCACGTGCATCAGTTGTACAAGCAGATCGTTGAAACGTGAATCAAATTCCTTTGCAAAGGTGGTTGCACATGCTGTGCTGAATTCTTTACAAACACATTGCCCCATGTATGGGATCTGGTTTTATCCAGTGTGAAAAATAAATGTTTACTTCATTACAGCATGGTGGTTTCTCCTAAATTTCAGTACTGGCCAGTAGGATGCAAAACATAGTCAGGGTGGACACCAAATTTCTTTATATTAATTGTCTATTTTATTATGAGTGTCCACTCTGAAATTTTATTTGTGTTCATTCAATGCGAAAAATTTCAATAATTAATACTTGTGTGCCTACCCTAAAAAATAATTCTGGATCTGTCACTAGTATTGACCATTGTCTTGTCAATCTAAAGAAATTAGAATAAGGTCTATACTATTTAGACACATTCTCACTTGTACACGAGGGATGCTAAACGTTTTATCGTATTCAATTTTATATTCTTTTATTTATCATCGATCTTAATTTTTTAATATATATATTTACTTATGTGATAGGGTTGAGATCGATTCGGTTCAATAAGATCTTTTAACTTGTCCACGACAAAGACGAATAGATAAAAAATGATGCACCAGGAATAGATAGGTTCTCAAAGGTTAAAGAGTTCGAGTCATTCTCATACTCATTTGATGGGTTTCTAGGTATGAATATCGAGACCTTATAAACAATAAGATAACTTCAAAGGATTTTTATGACACTTCAAATCAAACTTACATTAATCCATTTACTTACATATCATTAAAATTACAGCGGATAATTCAAATACTTCATGCTAAACATATTATTCATGCTTAATCCAAAACATGCATACAATCTCTGATCAAATCCCGTGAAAAAGCATGCTTAAAATTGGAAAAATTACCAAATTTGGGAGATATGTATCAATACTGTATCCTTATAAAAAACTCGACAACAAAGGACGGAGCCATGATTTAACTTGAAGAAGGCATGGTATAACTTTTTAAAATTTGGGGGAAATTTCATAATTATTCTATAAATATTTAATTTTTTATTAAGTTAAAATGATTACAAAGTAGTATATGTTTTATATATTCTCAATCATTTGACAATGAATGTTCAATCACTCTGCATTGGTGCTCGAACCTTTGACCTTATAAAAACAAGGCATAATGCAAACAAATACCCTTAACGTTTGACAATATATGCAATTTTGCCTCAATTGTTGTTTTTTGGAACATTTGACCCCCTCCACGTTTCATTTTGGGTCAAAAAACACCATCGTTGGATGAAAACCGTTAGTCAATTGACGGCCAACGCCTGAAGCTGACTCAACAAGAACATGTGGAGGAAAATGCTGACATGGCATGTCCATATCATAGTAGTTGATGACGTGATAGATCCACGTAGACTAAATGCTAACGTGACAGATCCACGTGTGATGCCACGTCAGTAATTTTTTTTATAAATAATTAATAATAAATAATTATTTTTTACTAAATTATAGCAACAAATCAGATGTTGCCACGTGGCGCATGAATTTTTTATTAAATTAATAAAAGAGGTATTAAATCTCCACAAAATTTTGCAACCCATGGGTCTAAGGGATGAAAAGGTTGACACCTAACCACCAAGACAAGTCACTTGGTTATTATTAAATGGCTAATAAAATGATTTAAAGTATATTGTTGCCATCAAAACCACCACTAACACAAGAAGTTTTTTTAATTCATATTTAAAATTTTAATTAATATTTAAGTCAATTTAAATTCATATTTAAAATTTTAATTAATTTTAAATTTATAAACTTTTAAAAAATAAAATAAATAAAATGATTTAATCTCTAATTTTAAGTTTATTTTTTATTAAATTTAAATCACATACTCTCTAATTACAAATATATTTCTTTTATAATTTAAGTCTTGAAAAAGCTTTCTATCATCGAGATAGTGGAATTTAAGTCTCGTTCGCATTCTCCCCGTTCGATACAACTAAAGGCAAGACTCAGGCAGACCGGAGGAATCTCGGATTCTTCCGAGCTGTTGAGCTCGCCATGTGAAGCAAAAGCCTTGCAATAATGGTAAACATCACTGCCTTTCTGAACCTGTACTACTCCCTTGCTCCTGCTTTCACAAGACTGCCGCATAATTCTAACAATTTAAATCTAACTATAATTTTAAAAAAAATGCTTGTGTTAGTAAACAGAACCAGTTATTGGGATTTTAGCATAATATTGATGAAATTCCCAAGGTTGGAAGTGATGACAAGAATGCTATAGTATACAGTGTGGTCCTATAGAAAACTGAAGGCTGATCACAAGCGCAAACATGCATTTCCAGCGTATTTCATTTATCTTTTGTTTTCCTTGACGGGATTAATAAAGGGGACCATAACTCCATTAACATAAGTGGAAACCAAAATATCAATTCTTCAAGCATATCCATATTCATGTGCGAATCATAAGTGATATAAAGTGGCCACCTGGATTACTGTGGGAAGTAACACCACCAATTTGATGGAAAGCAAACACAAATGTGCAGTTGTGAAATAACAGTGCGGTCCTCCTTTGGCACACATAACAACATGCCATGCAATGCTTAACTTCTAGCTTTGCCAAAGGAGAATTGACATGCCTTTCTCTCCTGCAGGCTGCAGTTACTGTATTATAGCTACACTTGTCGATTTTTCCTTGATTTCCTGAATGCAGGGCTCCTTTTGCTCAAGGATTTCTACTTTGTCAATGTTATTCTATTTCTTCTAATGTTTGTGTGCAGCTATCATTAGTTTGAGAAGTGGAATTGAGGGTTTGATTAACATATATAATTGCTGGTATAGTGAAAAGTGTGAGGAAGAAATATCAGCATGAATCTCTGTCATTTCCCCACATCTCAAAACATCACATCAGGCTCAATGGAACTCCCAGCATGATGATATGGTTGCTTCATCATCAGGCTATCATTTCTGCTATTGTATCCTAATGCAGGAGAGTAGTTGCTCATTAGTTACTGCTGAAGCATTTGATGTGTAAATGTTCATCAACCTCCATAACTCACATGTATATATACTTTTCGACTTTAAATAAATTGTTTCTAGGATTACCCTTTGCATCTTGGACATGACACCTACATCAAGAAGCCTCTATGGA